TAAAATTCAACATTTTTTCCTCTCTTTTATGGGATTTAGCTTCATTATTTTTGTGCTTTTGGAAAATACTTTACTTATTTAATAGTCTCGACTCTTTGGTAAAAAATCTAAAATTATCAAAAATTCAAAAAAAATTCAAAAATTCGAATTTCTTAAAATTCAACATTTTTTCCTCTCTTTTATGGGATTTAGCTTCATTATTTTTGTGCTTTTGGAAAATACTTTACTTATTAAATTGTCTCGAATCTTTGGTAAAAAATCTAAAATTATCAAAAATTCAAAAAAATTCAAAAATTCGAATTTCTTAAAATTCAACATTTTTTCCTCTCTTTTATGGGATTTAGCTTCATTATTTTTGTGCTTTTGGAAAATACTTTACTTATTTAATAGTCTCGACTCTTTGGTAAAAAATCTAAAATTATCAAAAATTCGAAAAAATTCAAAAATTCGAATTTCTTAAAATTCAACATTTTTTCCTCTCTTTTATGGTATTTAGCTTCATTATTTTTGTGCTTTTGGAAAATACTTTACTTATTAAATAGTCTCGACTCTTTGGTAAGAAATCTAAAATTATCAAAAATTCGAAAAAATTCAAAAATCCGACTTTCTTAAAATTCAACATTTTTTCCTCTCTTTTATGGGATTTAGCTTCATTATTTTTGTGCTTTTGGAAAATACTTTACTTATTTAATAGTCTCGACTCTTTGGTAAAAAAAACTGAAATTATCGAAAATTCGAAAAAATTCAAAAATCCGATTTTCTTAAAATTCAACATTTTTTCCTCTCTTTTATGGGATTTAGCTTCATTATTTTTGTGCTTTTGGAAAATACTTTACTTATTTAATAGTCTCGACTCTTTGGTAAAAAAAACTGAAATTATCGAAAATTCGAAAAAATTCAAAAATCCGATTTTCTTAAAATTCAACATTTTTTCCTCTCTTTTATGGGATTTAGCTTCATTATTTTTGTGCTTTTGGAAAATACTTTACTTATTTAATAGTCTCGACTCTTTGGTAAAAAAAACTGAAATTATCGAAAATTCGAAAAAATTCAAAAATCCGATTTTCTTAAAATTCAACATTTTTTCTTCTCCTTTATGGGATTTATCTTCATTATTTTTGTGCTTTTGGAAAATACTTTACTTATTAAATTGTCTCGAATCTTTGGTAAAAAATCTAAAATTATCAAAAATTCGAAAAAATTCAAAAATCCGACTTTCTTAAAATTCAACATTTTTTCCTCTCTTTTATGGGATTTAGCTTCATTATTTTTGTGCTTTTGGAAAATACTTTACTTATTAAATTGTCTCGAATCTTTGGTAAAAAATCTAAAATTATCAAAAATTCGAAAAAATTCAAAAATCCAATTTCTTAAAATTCAACATTTTTTCTTCTCTTTTATGGGATTAAGCTTCGTTATTTTTGTGCTTTGGAAAATACTTTACTTATTAACCCTCTGCTGATGCTAACTTATCCCCACTCTATCGCCAAAGAACGTAACTCCCATAGTCCCCACCAGGCGTTCAGAATGACGATTTTTGACGATAACGGTCGTTAGCATCAGCAGAGAGTTAAATTGTCTCGACTCGAATATTGTTATTTATGAAAATAATTGAATTTTGAAAAAAAATTTATTAAAATACCTCAAAATAATTGAATTTTCGGGGGTAATTTTTTTATTTATCTTTAATAATCTTTAATAATTTTTCTTTCGAAAAATTATTCGTGTAGGGGAGAGTCTCCAGTTGTGAGACACCTCCAGTTGTGAGACAGTCAATTTTTTTTAACATGCAATATTAAAAAGCCGATTGGTTTATATAAAAACATTTCTTTTTATATGAGCCAACTTTTTCGTGTACGCCGAAGCGGATATATAAACTATTTTTGTTAAATACCAACACTGTGTGTGATAATCGACTAAAAAGCGTTTTTTCAATAAATGCAAAGTACTTTTTTTCCAAGTTAATTAATTGGAAAAGGTAAATGTAATGTATTTTCTTTTAGTGTTTTCCTTATATTTTGTGATGCAATATTGCATTGTTCCAATCTACGGTTGAAAATAATTTAATTTTCCTTTTTCAAAATAGCGCCAATTTCTGGGTGTGAGACACAGCATATCACCAGTTGTGAGACGGTGTCAACACCCATCTGGGCAGCATAAAAAATACGACTTTGCAGGCATACTATTTAAATGTTGTTTTATTTTGTTTTCTAGTATTTTTGGGCATGTCAAGTGGAAAAAAGTCAATTGATTCAGAAGAAATCAATTTTAATGCTCTTGTTGAAGCTATTAAATGATGTTTATTTGATAGACATATTTTGGCGAATAAATATTATTATTTAGTATATAATAATATATATTATTAATATATTTAATTATTTCTACTAAACATAACGTTTTATGCCAAACTTATTAAATTTTAGCACTTTTTAATGAGTGTCTCACAACTGGAGACATTTTTTTTTTTTGAAAAAAGCGATGTGCTCGGAAAATGTATCGTAAAATTTTCTGAGTTCATCGAAACACTACACTTTCTTTTAATAAAAGTTGCGTATTTCTGTTACCTTTCGAACGGTGTATTTTATTTACAATTTTGTTTACCCGTTTACAATTTACGGGTCAAAAATGAAACCCGTCTCACAACTGGAGACTCTCCCCTAAATAATTGAATTCTTAGAAAAATCTTATTAAAATTGAAAAAATTGAATTATTTCAAAAAAATTTAATTAAAATCGTATTTAAAACAATTAATTTCTTTCGAACAATTTTATTAAATTTTTTAAAATAATTATTCAATTCTTCCATAGAACTTAAATAAAACATTTTATAAAATAATTTATTTTTTCGAGGAATTGAAATTAAGTTTTTAAGAATTATTAAAATTTTTGAGCAATTTCTGTAAAATTGTATTAAAAATAATTGAAATCCTGCTATGAATTTTATTACTTATGAAAATAATTGAATTGTTTTTTATTTGAATAGAATTTTATTATTATTCTCAAAAATAATTGAATTACAGAGAAGAATTTTATTATTTTTGAAAATAATTGAATTATTGCAGAAAAGTTTATTAAAATATTTAAAAAGAATTGAATTTTTGTAAAAATTTTATTATTTTTGAAAGTAAGTGAATTCTTCATTAGAATTTTATAAACATTGTTTTAATTTTCGTTCGAAAGATAATGAATTTTAACGGTTTTGTCAGTTTAACTTTTCGCCCCAGTCTCCCCTATTAAATATCAATTTTTGAGAAATTCAATTTACCTCGTACAAGAAGTTTTCAATTTGAAAATCTGTTGTAAAATTTGAAATTAGTATCAAAATTTGTTAAATTTTTTTTATGTACTTTAAAGTTTAAAAATATAATATAATTTGAAAATTTAATTCTAATTATTAGTTTTTTAGTTATGTGTCATAATAAGTATTTCTTTAAAAATTACATAAATTAAAATGACTTGAAATTGTTTACAATAAACATTGCAATACAACATTCCCGCGCGGATAATTTGGCTAGTTATTATTTAAAATTTTAACTGAAATTCATTTTTAAATCAATTTTTATTAGAAAATTTTACTACAAATTAAATTATTTAAATACGAAAAGAAATAATTTATTGAATAATTGAATTATTTCGACAAATTATAATACAATTTTTAAGAATAATTACATTTTTTGACGAATTCGATTAAAATTGTATTAAAAATAATTGAAATTCTTTGATGAGTTTTTTTATTTATTGAAAATAATTGATTTCCTAAAAAGAATTCTTTTTTAAATAATTGAATTTAATGTGAAATTTTTATTATTTATGAAAATAAGTAAATGTTTGCGTAGAGTTTTATTAAATTTTTTTTTAAATAATTGAATTCTTTTGAGAAATTTTAATTAAACGGTAGATGTTGAAAATCATTGAATTGCGAAAATTTTTTGAAAATAATAATTGATGATTTTATTACCTAGATATTTATAAAAATAGTTTAATTTTGGTATCATTTTAATAAAATTTTTGAAAACAATTGAATTTTTTATTATAAATTTTTAAAATAATTGAATTCTTTTGAGGAATTGAATTAGGTATGTCGGGAGTTTTGAGTAAAATAGAAAACATTGATAATAATTCAATTATTTTCAAGAATTTTATTACAATTTAAAAAAATAATTGAATTCTACGGTTGAATTTTATTATTTATGAAAATAGTTCAATTCTTTCAAAGAGTTCAAGAAAAATTATATTGAAAGTAATTAAATTCTCTTGTAATCAAATTTTATGAAAATTTTTGAAAATCTATAAAAATAATTTAAATTTTCCCAAGAATTTTATAAATATTTTTGAAAATAATTCAATTTCAGAGAAGAATTTTATTATTTATAAAAATAATTGAAATTTTGACGAGAATTTTTGTAAATTTTTAAACATAATTGGATTTCTGCGAAGAGTTTTATTACTTTTGAAAATAATTGAATTCCTAAAAAGAATTTGATTATTTATGAAAATAATTTAATTCTAAAAAAGAATTTTATTATTTACGAAAATAATTGAATCCATGTAAAAATTTTATTATTTATGAAAATAATTGAATGATTGCGAAGAAATTTATAAAAAAATTTATAAATAATTGAATTTTGGAGAAGAATTCTAATATTTATAAAGATAATTGAAATTTTGACGAGAATTTTAAAAAATGGATGAAAATAATTGAATGTCTGCGAAGAATTTTATTACTTTTGGAAATAATTGAATTTCTGCAATCATTTGTAATTTCTCTAAAATTCTCCAAATTTTATCGTAGAATTTACGAACTTTTCGTCTTTTCTCAATCAAATTACGAACTTTATGGACCTTTTTTTAAACAAACGGACTTTTACGGGATTTACGAACCTAGTTCGAGCCCTGCTTATCTCTCGATGCACAAAAAATATAAAATAAATTTATAAATAAATAAATAAATACTTGAATATTTCTATAGAAATAAAGAAAAAATCAATTTTTCTGTTACAGATAACCGACGGTAATGCAAAAACAGAAGTGAGCAATCGAAAGGAGCCCGGTGTATTTTGCGGAGAATCAGAGCAACCACAAACATTTATATCCGAGACAAGTTTCGTTAGAGTTCTCTTCCACACGGACAATTTCACCGATCAAACCTATTTTAGTTTCGATTCACGGGCCGAACAACAATTTGAGGTTTATCTCCGCTACGGCCAACATCCAGAACTCTATCCAAATCGTCGTGGCGAAGTCGTTGCCGGCAGTTATTGCGAGAGAGTATTTAAGGACTGCCGCCTACAAACATGCTATGTACAAAGTCCCGCATATCCCGGCATCTATCCCCGTGCACTTCACTGTAAATACAAATTAAACACAAGATTACCGTTCATTAAGCTCTACATTGAAAATGAGGAATTCAACATTGACGGTCAACGTTGCGAGAATATAATGACGTGTCCAATGAGGCCAATAAGCTCCGGCTCAGAGCACTGTCCCTACGACTATATTCGCGTCTACGATGGTCAAGACGAAAATTCCCAAGTAATCGGCACATTCTGTGGAATGGGCAAATTTCCCTACAGCATCATTGGAACGAGTAAGGATCTCTACGTTGAATTTGTCTCATCACCAGCAGGACCATTGCTAAATACCGGATTTCATTTTAACGTTGGCAATTGGCCAGGTCACGTGGAAACTGCCGGTGTGAAGAATGGCAGTTGTGATTGGTTGTTGAACAGTGAATCGTTGAAGAATGGCGATGAGGGGATATTTTTATCGGTTGCACATTGGTATCCACCGCACACTAGTTGCACATATCTTTTGAAAGGACGTCCAGGTGAAATTGCACGTCTCTATTTTCCGAGTTTTCGCGTAAATCGCATTGAATCGCCGATTCAGCCCTACGATGGCGATTGTGGTGAGAGTTTGACATTGTACGACGCCGATTGGCCGGACGATGCAAGAATTATAAAAACATTCTGCGATACATTCAGTAAACCAATGGAGAAACATGATTTTGTCTCGAGTACAAATTCATTGTTTGTACGTTTCGAGAGTAAGACGGGAAGTTATTCGGGTAGTTCGTTGTACTATTGGGCGCATTATGATTTTTTTAATGCGACGAAATTTGGTGAAACGGTGCCAAATACGGAGTGTGACGAGACATTTGCGGCTTGGAAATTGCAGAGTGGAAGATTGCGATCGCCGTTGAATACATTGGTTTTTAAGAGACCGGGCGATCCGGCATTGGACTTGACTTGCACTTATAGTTTCATTACTGATAAGAGATTGTTTGCGAGGGTGATATTGACGGTGGAGTCGGTGAGTTTTAAGGATCATCCGTATGCGCAGTGTGGACATTGTTGGGACAGCAGGGCGGACAAGGTGATTATTAGAGAGCCATCGTCGGATGTTGTGAAGGGTCACTGTCTCTGTCGATTGAGCAGTGGGAATCCACCATTGAGAATTGTTTCGAAAGGCGAAAGATTGGATTTGAAATTAATTGTCGATGGTGCGCACGCTGCGGCGAGTTATTTTAAGCAATCGGCGCCGCTTTTTGAGGCACGCTTTGAATTTGCTCACAGTCCACTTTGTGGTCCGGCTATTTTGCCAGCGACGACAGATGGGGAAATTGAATTTCCACATTATGAGGCATTGGGCTATGTGACGCCGCCTAGATCGATAAAATGCATCTGGGAATTGAAAGTGAGTCCTGAGAGGGATTTATTTTTGCATTTTGATAAGACGAAATTTGGCTCGCGCTCGTGTGAGGATGGAAAGATTGAAATTATTTTACCGGGTTCAACGGAGTCGTTTTTCAGTATATGCGGTGAGAATGTGAGTCAAGCTAAGGAGGTGCCAATATTATCGGCAGCACAACTTTTGTCATTAGACTCGGGACGTGAATCGGGATTGGTGATTCAATTCACGGGATCAATGGCATTGACGAGGGCCGAGTTCAAGATCACATGGACTGAATTGTATCATTTGTCACGCGATGGTACTGGGGCATTGAATACACAAAGACTGGAGGAATGTGGATTTCAGTGTCCGGGCGACGCGGGTTGCATACCGAATCGTCTTCTGTGCAATGGAGTTATTAATTGTCCATTGCCGAAATTACCGCCGGGTGTGTTCAATATGAGTACCCTGGAGCCGGATGACGAATCTATTGAGACTTGCGGCGGACCGATTGGTGGCAATGGTGGCAGTGTTGTTGGGCCTGCTGGATGGGCTGGTGCTGGATTAGGTGCTGGTTTGGCCATTTTATTTGGCCTCGTGTGTTTAATTACTGTTTGTCGAGTTTGTCGACGAAGAAGTCGATCAAGGGACATTCACGTGCCCTATTAAATAATGTGCCATTTACGAATAACTTTATTAGCAACTATTCATTATATATATGAACTGCGAGAAATTATAGAGAGTCTTGCACTTCTTTTTTCATTAGACGTTCATTTTTCCATAAAACGAAAATTAAATTTCCTTTCGAATTTTGTCGGAGTTTTCAAATATTCAAATTTTTAACAGTAAAATTTATCTAAAAAAATTTACTGTTTTTTAACAAGAAACACTGTTGTAAAAAAATACTGTTGCAAACAAAAAATCTGTTGAAAACAAATTTATTAGAATCAAATAATCGATTACTTAATTATAATCAAATAAATATTCATTTTTTAAGTTTAAATAATAATTTAAATTTCTTTCAAGTCAATTAAAGTAGTTCACAATTAATTATTTGATTGAAAAATAATTATTTCTTCTAAATAAAATATTTATTTCATGAAAATAAAAATTGTTTCGTCTATAAGCAATTTATTTGATCAAATTTAAAATTATTTGTCCCAAGAAAAAATTATTTAATGAAAACAAAAATTATTCGACTTCTAAGAAATTTATTTGATCAAAAAAGAAAGATAAAAAAAAGTTATTTGATCCAAATTAATATTTATATAAGCAAAATAAAAATTCTTTGATTTATAAGGAATTAGTTTAATAAAATAAAAATTTTTGGTCCATATGAAATTTATTTGATAAAAAAAAATATTTGGTTCAAATTTATTTATTCAAAATAATAATTATTTGATCCATGAGTAGTTGATTTCATGAATATTAAAGTTATTTCGTCCATAATAAAAAAATTAATTTTTGTTAAAAAATGGAATCAAAAATTATTTGGCCCTTACGAACTTCATTTCATAAAAATAAAAATTATTCAGTCTGAATAAATATTAAATTGATCAAAATAAAAATTATTTAGTTCGAATAAATATTTATTTGATAAAAATAAACATTTTTTATTTGATCCGCATAAATTTCTATTTGAACAAAATGAAAACTATTCGGTCCAAATAAATATTTATTTCATTGAAATGAAAATCATTTAGTTTTTAACCAATTTATTTGATCAAAACAAAAATCCATTATTTTACTAGAGAAAAATATAGAAAATTAACAAATCTGCTAAAGAATAAGTAAAAATTTAATAAAAGTTTAATAAGTTTTTTTAAATGAAAGAATTTCCATTCAAGAAAACTTTCACATTTAACAATTAAATATTGTAAATAGAAATTTTGTTAAATAAAAATTTTTCTAAATAGAAATTCTACTTTATGAAAACTGTATTTTGCTGATAAATACAAAAATTCATTTCAATAGAAATTCTCCACTGAATGAAACTTTAATTAAGTGAATATTCAGAAACAAAATGATAAAATGTTTCTCTAATTTAATTTCCTGTCAAATAGAATGAACGTCATCGAAAATATTTAATAACCTTTGATTCACATTCCATGGATATTTAATTAATCGTATAGATTCTCTATAATTTCTCCAAATTCAATATAAAATCTCAAATATATAGAGATAATTTTCAATGAATGAATGAATGAAATCAATCATTTTGATAAGGATTTGAAATAGAGTGGCGGATAATTGGCTAGAGTTAATCTTGTTAATTTTAAATTTTAATAACATCAGGATTGACCAGTGAAATTATTATTATTATTATTATTAAATTAGTAATACTATTATTATTGTAATTAAAATTTTTTAAAAAGTGAAAATATTTTGTCATCCTGGTGTTGATTGCTCGAACTGTTCTAAGTTCTCAGGGGGAGTATTAATAGTCAATGATGAGAATCTAGTTTAAGTAGAGAAAATGATAAAGAGAAAGAAAAATGTCAAAGCTTTGGGTTACATTAACAACGATATATTGTGTAATTAAGTTGTATTGTAACTTTTGGCTTAGAGAAGAATATTAAAACCTATAGACACTGACGAAATTGGTTTCGGAAACATTGTAGTTGAATAGAAATCCGATAACATTAGTTGATAATGTCGACTTTCTATTCACTCCCTTATTATGACTGCTTTGAACGTCTGGTCTCCGGAACTCACTTGTTAGTTACAATCTAATTAGTATTAGCAGAGAAACTTGGAGATATCTACTTTCAAAGAGAACGAGATTCCTTAACAAGATTTCTCTTATCATTTACAAATGATAAAATACTAAACATGTTTGTAATAATTATTATTAAAATCGAGACTTATATATTTCGAATATTGTTAAAAAAGAAAACACTGCCGCAATTTAGTCTGATATTTTTTTGTTTTAATCTGCAATTTTTCGAAAATATTGTACTAAAAAAATCGAATCTACGATTTACGTACGATACACAATGAGAAAAATTAATCTAAAAATGAAATAAATTAAATTTTAATTTCAATTGGCTATCGTACGTAAATTATCTTAAGAGAAAAGTTTTGCTGCAAAATTGTCGAAAAGTTCCGGAATATATTATGCAAAATAATGTATCAAATATCACTGCCCCTCTTGTCTTCGTATATACTAAAGACTCAGTAAAGTACTGTACAGATACTCGTTCGAGACACTTCCAGTCTCTCTTGTGAACAAAGAGCGAAGAAGCTTTTGTTTGTAAGAGAGTAGATTCTAGAGAGACTGGATCTCTCTTCTCTCAAGTAAATCCATATAGATTATGATTTGAAGAGGAACTTCCGTTGTTTGACAACTTCAAGCTTTGGGGTGTTTTAATAATATTATATAAAATATTATCACGACAAGTAACAAAAGAAACACTATATTTAATAAAATAATTAAAAATTTTTAATAATTTCGAAATACTTTTTCCGATAAAATAAAATAGCCACTTTTAAATGAAAATTTACTTTTGTCCTCAAAATTACAAATTTCGTGAAAGGGGAAATATTTATTTTGAAAAATTATAATATTATTAAAAACGTTGAAAAGGAAGTTTCTCTTTTTTCAAAATAGGCAATTTTATATTTAAAACATACTGGACTCTTAAAAACATCAACTTGAAAACTTCTGCCCAAGAACTGACTGACCATGTTTTACGATCAGGTTTTATCATAAATATTGAAATTCTAGTTCTGCAGTGCTAGCCTCGTAAAACTGGAAAAAAGTTACTATTTTAAATTTCTAACCAGTTTCATAAAAGAAAAATCATCTAAACCACTATTTTCCGAGTAAAAAATATTTCTGTGAGATTTAAATTTATAAAAAAGAGAGAGAAATGTACGACGATTAAATTATAATTTTTGTAAATACAGACGAATTTTTATTTAACTGAATTTTCATTGACAAGTGTTATTAATTTTACATAGAGCTGATTAATTTATTAGCCATTTTTTCTATTTCTTTTTAATTTTTTTTACAAATCTCTGCTCGATTTTAAAACGAAAAAAATCAATTTTATTCAGTTTTGTCACAAAAATTTCATCTTGATTTCCTTGACTTTTCACGAATTTTTAAATTCAAATAAGTTGCATTTTATACCAAAAAAGTGATAGTTTGTTGCAATATTTGAAAGGAAATTGGAAAATTGTTACAAAAAATTTATGTATAAAACTTATGTATAAAAAAATGAATATTATTTTTTAAAAATCAAGAATTGTTGCGAAATATTAAATATTTGGACTTGAAAGAAATTTTTAGTGAAAATCGAGCATTTTCATTCGTCGACAAATAAAAGGTCAATAAAAAAAAAAAAAAGATTCAGTCTGACTTTTACAGTTTCAACAAAAGGAGCCGCGGTGACATTATAACGGGGCGAAGAAGGAAAAAAAAAGAATCAAAAGAGATTCTCGATGAATCGCAGAACACAAAAAGTTATCTGAAAGCTCTGGTTATTTCTCTAAAACTTGAAACGATGAAAAGATCGAATTCGCTTAGAATGTGGTTCTTTTGAAAGCAACACACACTCTCTGTCTCTCTCATATCTATATCTCCATTTCCTTTTCCAGAGTGGTTATTTAATTCATTGAAAGTATAAAGTTGCACTTGAGAAACTCTCAACTTATCAATATCATGATTTTCTACTCGAGTTTATCAATTTAAAATAAAACTTTCTTCCACTCTCTCTCTCTCCCTCCCTCCCTCCTGTAAAAAGTTACGAAAGAGGATTAAATTAACCCTTGAGAAATTTTAATCTAATACTTTGAATTTAAAAAAAAGAAGTTTGTGATTTTATTTTTTTTTATCCCCCAAGTTTATAAATTACTGAGAATTTCGTTTCATCTCATTTTTTTTTTAATAACTAAGATCGTTAAAACTTTACTAGGCAAGCCTTTGATAAAAAATAGAATCACAGAATCAAATAATAATCCCGGTGAAATGAATAAATAAATTATATGCGCACTGCAAGGAGAATTGTTTACAAGGGATTTAATTAAACTTAAAGAAATCAAGAAAGTACAATTTTTCAAAAGATTCTTTTCATGTTTTGTTATATTATAAGGAAAAATTAAATTTTCAATTTATTGAAAATCGTTATTTCGTTAATAAAATATTTCAATAAAATTTCTTCGATTTCCCTATTTTTTCTCTGAATTAAAAATTTTAACTTAATTTAAATTAAAATAATCAGGACATTTTTTATTCTTTTTCTATATTTTTTGAATTTATAAAAAAAAATTATATTTTCAATTTACGGGAAACATTTCGTTAATGAAATATTTCGAAAAAATTTCTTCAATTTCCGCAGCTTTTTTTTTTGTTTGCAAAATAAAAAAAAATTTGTAAACAAGTGTTGAAAATAAACATGATGAAACAGATGTTACGAAATTATGGATGGCATATGCGAAGTTTGCAACATGTAATACGACATTGAGATAGAAAAGCGGATATTAGATTAGCAAATTCCTTTCCCTTCAAGTTAAAGTGATTGATATAATGTAATTTCTCTCGAAAAAGGTTTTTTTTTAATTTCCTCCACAATCACTAAATTAATCGATTTGTCGGAAAACTTTTGTATAAAATGTCAATTCTCTCACTGCAACTGAAATGTAGAACTCGAATTTATTCCCAAAATGAAATGCTCAACTTTCTCTCAAAAATTTTTCTTTCAAGACTTTAACCAATAATCGCTACCTCATTGAATTTAAATTTCATTTCAAATTTTCATGTAAATTAAAATTCGCAAATTTAATATTATATTAAATTAGAATTTCTAATTTCATTAAACGAAGAGAAATTCTTTTTCTTTAACGAAAAGAAAAATTCCAATAAAAATAATTACCAATTTAATAAAAGAATATAAATTTAATTGAAAA